CCAATCCTGGCTCCCCTCTTACTGGTTGGGAGAAGTTGGGCAAAGAACTTCGTCTCGCTCTAAACCTTTTCCCTTCTCTGTGAAATGGGGATAACCAATTAAGACGGTTTTTATGAAGACGAAATGAAGCAATCTAGGGGCACCTGGTGGCTCAGTCTGTTAAGTGTCTGCCTTAAGCTCAGGTCATGATCTCAGGGTCCTGGGATCTGCCAGGGTCAGAGATGGAGTGTCCTCACTCAGTGGGGAGTCGGCTTCTCCCTCTCCCTCTGCCCCTACCCCCCTGCTCATGTGTTAATGCCTGTGCAGGCCCCCTCTCTCTCTCAAATAAATAAAATCTTTAAAAAAATGCAATTTAAAGTCTCTACTCAGTATCACTAATCATTAGGGAAATGCACATCAAAGCCACAATGAACTATCACACCCATTAGGATGACTACTATTTTTATTTTTTATTTATTTTTGGATGGTTACTTTTTTTTTAAAGATTTTATTTATTTGAGAGAGAGAGAGCCCACAGGTAGGGGGAGGGGCAGAGGGAGAGGAAGAAGAAAAAGAATAAGAATAGAATAGAAAAAAGAGGGCGCCTGGGTGGCTCAGTTGGTAAGCGACTGCCTTCGGCTCAGGTCATGATCCTGGAGTCCCGGGATCGGGTCCCGCAATGGGCTCCCTGCTCAGCGGGGAGCCTGCTTCTCCCTCTAACCCTCCCCCCTCTCATGTACTCTTTCTCTCTCTCTCTCATTCTCACTCTCTCAAAATAAATAAATCTTTAAAAAAAAAAGAATAGAAAAAAATTTAAAAAAATAATTTTATTGTTTAAAAAAATAACATGCATTGGTGAGGATATGGAGAAATCGGAACCTTGGTGTGCTTTTGGTGCAAATGTAAAATGGCGCAGCCACTGTGAAAAACAGTATGACCGTTCTTTGGAAAATTGAAGAATTATGATTTGATCTGCCAATTCCATTTCTGGGTGTATATCCACAAGAACTGAAAGCAGGGTCTCCAAGAGGTATTTGTACATTCACATTCATAGAAGCATTATTCCCAATAACCAACAGATAGAAGCAACCCAGTGGCCCTCAAGGGATAAACAGAAAGTGGCATATTCATACAGTGGAATAATATTAAGCCTTAAAAAGGAAGGAAATTCTGACACAAGCTCCAACATGGCTGAAGCTTGAAAATATTGTGCGAAATTAAGTAAGCCCGTCACAAAAAGACTAATATGGTATGATTCCATTTGTATGAGGTATCGACTATAGTCAGATTCATAGAAAGTATGATGGTGGTTGCCAGGAGCTGGAGGCAGGAGAAATGGGGAATATTCATTATCGTTTAATGGATACAGAGTTTCAATTTTGCAGGATTAAAGAGTCCTGGAGATTGGTTGAACAACAATGTGAATATACTTTATTTATTTATTTATTTATTTATTTATTTATTTATTTATTATAGAGAGAGAGAGTGCAAGCAGGGGGAGGGCAGAGGGAGAGAGAGAGGATCTCCAGCAGACTCCCTGCAGAGTGCGGAGCCGGACAGGAGGCTCAGTCCTACAACCCCGAGATCATGACCTGAGCCAAAACCAAAGAGCTGGACACTCAACCGACTGAGCGCCCCAGGCGCCTTTGCATATACTTAATATTACTGGGTCATAGACTTTAAAAAGTCCGAGATGGTAAATTGTATGTTTCGTGTATTTTACCACAATTAAAAATAAATCTGAAATAAGGCTCAGGGCACCTGGCTGGCTCAGTCAGTGGAGTGTGAGACTCTTGATCTTGGAGTTGTGGGTTCAAGCTCTTTGCTCAGCGGGGAGCCTGTTTCTCCCTCTGCCTGCCGCTCCCCCTGCTTGTGCTCTCTGACAAATAAATAAAATCTGTAAAAAAAAAATAAGTAAATAAATAAAATCTTAAAAAAAAGTCTCCCAAATGTTCATCAACAAATGAATGGTTAAACAGAATTGGTATAACCATAAAATGGAATATTATTTGGCCATAACAAGCAATGAAGTACTGGGGCTCCTGGGGCGCTCGATCATTAGCGTCTGCCTTCGGCTCAGGTCATGATCCCAGGGTCCTGGGATCGAGTCCCGCATTGGGCTCCCTGCTCAGCGGGAAGCCTGCTTCTCCCTCTGCCTGCAGCTCCCCCTGCTTGTGCAATCTCACTATCTCTCTCTATGTGTCAAATGAATAAATAAAATATTTTAAAAATAGGGTGCCTGGGTGGCTCAGTTGGTAAGCGACTGCCTTCGGCTCAGGTCATGATCCTGGAGTCCCAGGATCGAGTCCTGCATCGGGCTCCCTGCTCAGCAGGGAGTCTGCCTCTCCCTCTGACCTTCTTCCCTCTCATGCTCTCTCTCTACCATTCTCTCTCTCTCTCAATAAATAAATAAAAATCTTTAAAAAAATATTTAAAAAAAATAAAATTGGTTATGGTGACGGCTGCATAACTGTGAATATATTAAAAACCAAATGCAGCCTTTCATTGGGTAATTGTATGATTTGGGAATTATATTTCACTAAAGTTTTGTTTTGTTTTGTTTTGTTTTTTTTAGAAGGCAAGTCAGATGGTGTTTGTCCTCTAGTCAAAACTCTGCAGTGGCTCCTCATTTCACTCAGACTAGAAGCCACATTCCTTGCCATGGAAAAATCCCTACGTATCATGCCTGTCACCTCCTCTCCTGCCAATCTCCTTCTTATTCATCAACTCAAGCCATAGGAGCTTCCTCATTTAGGGACACAGGCACACTCCTCCTTTGGGATCTTTGCACTGACTGCCCTCTCTGGATTGCTCTTCCCCTAGATATCTTCTACTCTAGGTCCCTCATCTCCTTCAAGTCTTTGTTCAAATATCACCTTCCTAATGAGGTCTGCCTGGCCACCCTTTTATTTTATTTTATTTTATTTTTTATATATTTTATTTTATTTTATTTTATTTATTTTATTTTATTTATTTTGTTTTATAAGTAGGCTCAGTGCCCAGCGTGGAGCCCAGTGTGGGGTTTGAATTCACCACCCTGATACCAAGACCTGAGCTGAAATCAAGTGTCAGATGCTCAACCGACCGAGCTACCCCAGTACCTATGGCCACTGTATTTTAAATTGCACCGTCACGGGTGCCTGGGTGGCTCAGTTGGTTAAATGTCTGCTTTTGGTTCAGGTCATGATCCCCGAGGCCTGGGATCGAGTCCTGCATCAGGCTCCCTGCTCAGCAGGGAGCCTGCTTCTCCCTCAGCCTACTCTGCCTGCAGCTTCCCCTGCTTGTGCTCTCTCTGTCTCTCTCTGTCTCTCTCTCTCTCTCTCTCAAATAAATAAATGAAATCTTAAAAAAAAAAGTAAATTGCACCATCACCACTACCACGGTACTCCCAATTCTCTTACCCTGATCTATTTTTCCTGCAAGTACTTATCAATTTGCAATAGGTTAATAACTTACTTGAGTTATGTTTATTGTCTGTCTCCTCTGCTAAAGGGAAGTTCACAGAGAGCCTTGATCTTTCTAGAGCTCACTTGAACCAGAACAATGTCTGGAAAGGGGTGGGTGCTTAATGAATGCTTACTGAATAAATGAATGGCAAACATCTCATAAATAGGAACTGCTATTACCTTTCTATGCAGTGAATAGGCAGGCAGGCAGGGCAGGGGTGTGGATAAGGTTTCCCTGCCCAAAGGAATAAGAGTAGGGCTTCAGGGCTGAAATCCTGGGGTGGGGGGTGGGGAGTGGAGAGGAGCAAGAATGTTCCACACTGGCACCCAATGAACAGGGCAGGGAACGGTGAAGCAGAGGGCGCCTGGGTGGCTCAGTTGGCTGGGCGGCTGCCTTCGGCTCAGGTCATGATCCTGGAGTCCCGGGATCGAGTCCCGCATCGTGCTCCCCGCTCAGCGGGGAATCTGCTTCTCCCTCTGACCCTCCTCCCTCTCATGCTCTCTCTCTATCACTCTCTTTCTCTCTCAATAAGTAAATAAAAATCTTAAAAAAAAAAAAAAGGTGAAGCAGAGATCAAGCTACAGTGGCAGAAGGTGGTGATTTTCAGAACCAGTGAACTGGGAGCGGGATGTGGGTCATTCTATAGAAACAGCAATGATTCCGAGTCACAGGCGCTTGATGCTTAATTTGCCAAAATTAGAAACAATTATTTAAGTTTTATTGCAACCTAGACACCCTCCGGGCCATGCAGGAAAATGCTCCTGGGACTCTGCTATTTCCTTAATGTTTTCCCTTTTTGGATATCGGCCTAGGGCCGGGAGACAGGAATCTGAATCACTGAGATTCAATTAACTGGCTTCAGGCCACACATCTCATTCCACGCTCACTAGAGCCCTCCCAGAAAGCACTAAGATCCCACAGTACTGAAGAGACGGCGGCCCCGACGACAAGGACAGCGACCGGCACACAGAGGAGGCGCGCAGCACGCGGCAGTGCCGTCCGCCTCGCCAGCTGAGGAAAGCCGCGGCCCCTCGCCCACCTCCACCCCTTGTCGCCTCCCGCCACCCCTAGGGGCCGCTCGGGAATCTTCTGAGGACGCCCCCCCCAACCAAGCCTGCTCCGGGAGGCCCGGCGCGCCGGCCAGGCTGCGGGAGAGGTATGCGTGGTCCCCGGGCGGGCACTCCGGGCTCGGCGGCGCACACTCGGGCCCCAGGGGTCGGGCCCTCCACCGCTCCCGCGCTCGCCGCACAGCGCGGCCCAGACCGGCTCCGGGGGCCGGAACGCGTCGACGACGCCGGCGGGCGGGAGAGCAGGCACCGGGCGCGGCCCCCGTCCCCGGGGTGGGCCACCGCACAGCCCTGCCCCCAGCGCGGCCGGCTGCTCGCTCCTCCCCCTGACCCCCCCGCGCACCCCCGCCTCCCGCCCCAGCCAGGAGAGACTCGCTCCGCCCGCAGCTCCCGCGACTCGCGCTGGACGCCGCAGCGGCTGGAGCCGCGGGAGCTGCGCGCTCGCCAGAACCCAGACGGCGGCGGGAGCCCGGGCAGCCTCGGGTTCGGGGGGGGTGGGGGGGCGCCATGAATGGCTCGGCTGGCGCCGGGGCCGAGGACGCGAGTGAGGCGGGCGGCAGGGCCAGCTGGCAGCCCGAGGCCGTTATCGTGCCCACGCTGTTCGCGCTCATCTTCTTGGTGGGCGCCGTGGGCAACGCGCTGGTGCTGGCCGTGCTGCTGCGCGGCGGCCAGGCGGTCAGCACCACCAATCTGTTCATCCTCAACCTGGGCGTGGCCGACCTGTGTTTCATCGTGTGCTGCGTGCCCTTCCAGGCCACCATCTACACCCTGGACGGCTGGGTGTTCGGCTCGCTGCTCTGCAAGGCCGTGCACTTCCTCATCTTCCTCACCATGTACGCCAGCAGCTTCACGCTGGCTGCCGTCTCCCTGGACCGGTGAGCGCGCGCGCCCGCGGCCCCGGGGGGTCAGGCACCCGGGGGGGGGGGGGCGCTGAAGAAGAGAGCGGGACTCGAGGCTACAGGAGGGGCGCGCGGAGGGTAGAAGAGGACACTAAGAAGGCAAAGGGACCGTGAGAGAGTGAAAGGCAAGCTGGAGTGGAGGAGGAAAGGGGGAATAAGAATAGGGGAGAGCGGTGTCCCCTCCGTTAGGTGCGTCCTCGTGGCTCCACGCTGCAGACCTCGGCTCTCCAGCGCCGCCCGCGCCTGACAAAGCGCCGCGTTTCCGGGCCCACTGCGTTTTTGCGCGCTTCCTCTCGCTTGAGCTCAGGGCCCCTGTGAAGCTCGGTGCCCCTGTGAAGGACGGAAGGGAATACTGTGCCCAATTTACAGATGAGATCGAGTTCAGAAGTGACTTGTTCAGAGTCTCCCCACCCAGTAATCGTGTGCGTGGCGCCAACGGTCTGTCTCCTGGCGTCAAACGTAGGCGCCTCCACCTCGCTAGCCTCGAAGCCACGGTTTGCTCGGGCAGTCGCCTCTGGTCCGGACTGCGGAATTTGGGTCCTAAGGAAGAACCCGCGCCAGAGTTCAAGCGAACACGCCCGAGGTTCCCTAGACCCAACCCCCGCCCTCCACCCCCACCCCCAGGCCCAGAGAGAGGCGAACGCCGGAGGGTCTCCTCTATCCTCCCCGCTGGAGCTTGGAAGGACACCTGGATGATTCCTGGGGAGGAAATCTGGGTCCGACTCCAGTATCCCCCCTCCCCCCTCTACCCCCAAGTCCTCCTGACCTTCCCTGGACAGGCAGCGAGATGAGGCCACCTCCCCCATGTACCTCCCAGTTCCACTGAAGCGGGCAGTGTTTCGGTTCCGAGAGCGCTGGTGAGACCCATAGAGCGTCGGCTTCTCTAAGGAATTCCCTCACGGCACCTTCCGGTGTCTCCAGGCTGTCTGCTAGGGCCTCAAGGCGCCTGGGTCCTACCTCTCCGGCACCGTCACTGGTGGGTAATCACAGCCTCCCGGAGCCCCAAAGCCGGTTCGACCTTGGGGTGCCTTCCCGGGTGGAGTGTGACTGTGGCCACAGTCCCGGGAAGAGCAGATGAGTGGCCTGCACGTGCGCCTTTCATGCTGCCCGCCCCGCCCCACATCTCAAAGCAGCTGAGAATGTCTGGGCTGCTCACGGTGAGTGCGGTGCCACCGTGCGCTAGGGACCTTCCTCGAGAGAGGGTGAGGGGTTCGAGGTGTAAGCGTCCCGCCCTACCCCCGCCAATCCACCCGTTCACCCGTCTCCCTTCCTGGCCTGACCCACAGGTATCTGGCCATCCGCTACCCGCTGCACTCCCGCGAGCTGCGCACGCCTCGCAACGCTCTGGCTGCCATCGGGCTCATCTGGGGGCTGTCGCTGCTCTTCTCCGGACCCTACCTGAGTTACTACCGCCAGTCGCAGTTGGCCAACCTGACTGTGTGCCACCCGGCGTGGAGCGCGCCTCGTCGCCGCGCCATGGACCTCTGCACCTTTGTCTTCAGCTACCTGCTGCCCATGCTGGTGCTCGGCCTGACCTACGCGCGCACCCTGCGCTACCTCTGGCGCACCGTTGACCCGGTGGCCACCGGCTCCAGCGCCCGGCGCGCCAAGCGCAAGGTGACGCGCATGATCATCACCGTGGCTGCGCTCTTCTGCCTCTGCTGGATGCCTCACCACGCGCTTATCCTCTGCGTGTGGTTCGGCCGCTTCCCGCTGACGCCCGCCACCTACGCGCTGCGCATCCTCTCACACCTGGTCTCCTACGCCAACTCCTGTGTCAACCCCATCGTCTACGCGCTGGTCTCCAAGCACTTCCGCAAGGGCTTCCGCAAGATCTGCGCGGGTCTGCTACGCGGTGCCCCCCGTAGAGCCTCAGGCCGCGTGTGCACCTCGGCACCGGGCACCCGCGGCGGCAGCGTGCTGGAGCGCGAGTCCACCGACGTGACGCACGTGAGCGAGGCGGCCCCTGTGCTGACCACACTCAGCAGCCCGGCCTTGAGCCTGGTACCCGGCCCGTCCTGGCGGGACCAAAATGCCCCCAGTGGCAACCCGACAGTTAATGCGACCTAAGGACACGTAGCGAGTATGCTTTTGGTGTTAAAGGATTGGAGTCAGAGGTTGGGGGATCAGGGAGGGAATTTCATCTGTTAATAAAATACCAAACCTTTTCACGTGCAATCATGCGCTGTGTCTGGCATATCTCATGGTTACGAAGTTCCGTGGTCTGAAGCCTCTGGGTGGATGGGTGCAAGGTGCTTTGCTGATCTACAGGGAAAGAGGGTGGCCCGCACCGAAGGCAGCCAAGTTAAAGTTCCCCTGGAAATCCCTGAGACGGGGAAGCGCAGGACGACCAAGTTTCCCTGCACGTGGCCATCCAGAGGCACTGGGTATATATAGATCAGCGAACCAGTAGCCACCTATGCGTGGGACAAAGGCAGGCAGAGTGTTTAAGCCTACTCGATAAGTGGGTCGATGGCCAGGCGCAGACACTATGTGTGTTCCTAGTAACGTTCGCGCACCAGCGAGTGGCGGGACCCTCCCTGCTCCCGGCTCTCTCGGGTCCCTTCTGAGTGTCTGCAGACCAATTGGTGCCCACCCACTCTCAGCCTTGGGGTTTCCTTCCCTCGCTACAGCTGTCAGAGGTCAGGTCTCCATTTCTGCTGGGCTAAGAAAGGCGCCCCTCACCCCCACCAGTCCTCCTCCAGGGTACCCAGGAGCAGTTCTAAGGCACCGCTGGGCTGGAACAGCTGAGAATCCGGTGCTGGAGCAGGAATGCTACAGCTCTGCTCATGAGCTAGCCTCTACCCTGCCCCGGGTTTGCCCAACTCCTGGAGTTCTTGACCCTTTCAAGGCTTTTTGCATGGAATCAGTTCAGTGTTTGAGGAGATGCAGGAAAATTCTCAAGGGCTTATGGATCTCGGATCTCAGGGGCACCTGGGTGGCTCAGTCCTTAAGCATCTGCCTTCGGCTCAGGTCATGATCGCACGGTCCTGGGATCGAGCCCCACGGGCTCCCCGCTCTGCGGGAGGCCTGCTTCTCCCTCTCCCACTCCCCCTGCTTGTGTTCCCTCTCTCGCTGTGTCTCTCTCTGTCAAATAAATAAATAAATAAAATCTTAAAAAAAAAAAAAAAGGGCTTACAGGCTTACGGATCTCGCAATGTTGAGTGCAGAGCACTATGGCTAGGGCTTGAGTACTTGACCAGGCAAGCACCCGCTGCAGAAACACAGGAAGGCCTATGGCATCTGCCCAGGTCGGAAGGATGGAGTTGGGGAAAGGTGTGTGTGTTTTTGGGGGGGGCGGGAATCTGTGCTTGCCTGGTCCGCTTGGTAGTCTTTGAATGGGGCAACTTCCAGGTGGTGGAAATGGAGCGGGGCAGGGAAGCCTAGGCAGGTGCAGGGTGGGCGGGGCTGGGCCCTGTGCTTTGTCTTCAGGTGTTTGCGGAACCCTGGGGTGGGATGCCAGCTCCAAGGCCCCAGAGCCCTTGCACAGAGCACTTGCCTCTAACTGCCCAGTCCCCCAGAGAAGCAACTGAAACTGAGGTTGCAATTTAGGCTCTGCTGCTCCATCCAGCCTTCCATGCAGCCCCTGATGATGGCCCTGCAGCCCCTGCTGCTCCATCTGGCCTTCCTCAGGCTTGGCACCGCCGGGCCCTTGGTCCAGGGGCGTGGCTTTCGCTCGCAAACAGTTGGTAGGTGGAGAGTGTAAAGTCGTTAAGCTTTACGATTTGGACCCCAGGGCACCCACCCAAATGACCTTGACCTCCACCCTTCAGCCTGGCCATCCTTCTTCGACTTCAACTGGCCCCAGGAGGTTCAAGAAACCATCCAGATTCCGAACAATGGGAGTGCGCCCCTGCTCGTGGATGTGCAGGTGTTCGTGTCCAATGTATTTAACGTGGTAAGTGTCCTCCAGCCACGGAGGGAATAGGGCCCAGGTGCTGAGCCGGGGATGGGCCAAGACAGCCCCAGCCAGTGGTGGGGGTTCCTGCCTTTTGTCCCATAGCGCCCACCCCCGGGTGACACACTGCCCCCTTCCTCAGGACATCCTGCGGTACACACTGTCCTCCATGCTGCTGCTTCGGCTGGTAAGCGCCCGGGGGCTGGGGAAGGTGGGGTGGGAGAAACTTCTCTTTGTCCAGCTCAGAAGTACCGGTCTTCGTGAAACTGCCAAGCCAAGTGGCTTGCATATATATGGCAGCGGGAGGCTTAGTGGCCTCTTTTTGTCGCCAGTCCTGGCTGGACAGTCGTCTGGCCTGGAACACAAGTGTCCACCCGCAGCATGCAGTCACACTGCCCTGGGACTCACTCTGGACTCCGGGACTCACTATTCAGGAGGCGTAAGTGAGGCGAGGGTTCTTGTGCCAGGGGGCCCTCCTTAGTGACTGTCCCCCTCCCCGGTGGCCCTGCCAGACCACAGGCACACCCCACTGCCTCGTGTCTCCCTCACCCTTCTGGAACCGGGATGGCAGGGGAGGGCAGCTGGGCTAGGCTGGGGTCTCCCCCACCTCCCCCTTCTGAGAAGCGGCTGAGCCTCCTGCTGTGCTATCTCCCTCCACCAACAGGCTCTGGGTGGACTGGCAGGACCAGAGCCCACGGGCCCGAGTGGACCCCGACGGCCACGTCACCCTGTACCTGGCCCTCACCACGGAGACCAACTGTGACTTTGAGCTCCTCCACTTCCCCAGGGACCAGAGCGACTGCAACCTCAGCTTCTACGCTCTCAGCAACACTGGTGCTGACTGGACAGGAGCCGGGGGGTGGGGTCGGGGAGGGGAGGGGAGGGGGAGCCTCTGGCCTCCAGTGGACATCTGACATGGGGGCAGCCAGCCTGTGTCCACCCCAGGCTTAGGGGAGGAGATCCTAGAGCAGAGCCTGCTTCTCACGTGCACCTCCCAAATCTCCCTGACTCCGCGCCGCCCCCCCCCCCCCCCCCCCCCCCCCGCGCCCCCCAACGACCAGGCCCAAACTGCCGTGTCTGGGCCGCTTTTGTCAAGCCTAGAGGCCAAGGTTACCACAGCCACCCAGTAAATATCCCACAGACCCCTGGGTGATGTCCAGCTTGCCCCAGAACCCCCACCCTTGCCTCGCATCCCTCCCCCCTGGGAAATACTACAGCTGCTGCCCGCCCTGAGGCTAATATTGCAGGTGTGAGAGGATATCCTGGGCGATGAATCCAGGCCACGTCCCCCTCCAAGAAGCGGGGCCAAGTGCATTTAGTTTTACAATGAAAATTCACCTCTGAATCTGAGAAGGCCCTTCCCCTGGCTGGAGAGAACGTGGGGTGTTGCCAAGCCCATGCACAGAGCGCGTTCACCTCCCGGTCTGCCCCCAGCCACCATCAGAAGTCTCCATCAGCCCTGGATGCCGGCTAGTCCCTGCCGCACACTCCCAAGAGAGAGTCGGGGCCAGGGGCAACTCCTTCCTGCTTCCCCACTCTCCCCTGCCCCCCCTTCCAGTGCTAGAGCTGGAGTTCCGGGCCCGCGCAGTGAACGAGATCGTGAGTGTCAAGAGGGAATATGTAGTTCGGGATTTGAAGACCCAAGTCCCACCCCAGCAGCTGGTGCCCTGCTTCCAGGTGACGGTGAGTTGGAACGTGGCTGATGAGGGCTGATGGGGGCGTGAAGCTTGTGGTCAGAGGCCACGGTGCCACCTTTCAGCTGCCCAGCCCCCCATGCACCCCCCCCCCACCAAAGCCCTGACTTCCTTCCTTCCAGTTGCGCCTGCAGAACACAGCGCTGAAGGCCGTCATAGCTCTGCTGGTACCTGGGGAGGCGCTGCTGCTGGCTGACATGTGCGGGGGGCTGCTGCCCCTCCGGGCCACCGAGCGCATCGCCTACAAGGTGACCCTGCTGCTGGGCTACCTTGTCTTCCACTCTTCCCTGGTGCAGGCCCTGCCCAGCTCCTCCTCCTGCAACCCGCTGCTCAGTAAGTCGTGCGCCCCTCACCCGGCCCATGGGGGGCTCTGCTCAGCTCCTGGGGCACGAGGGGTGCAGACCTGGCCCTGACCTCCCCACCCCCTCCCGCCCCCAGTTTACTACTTCACGGTGCTGCTGCTCTTGCTGTCCGTCAGTACCATGGAGACCGTGCTGCTGGCCGCGCTGCCGGCTGGGGGCAACCTCAGCCCAGCCCCGAGAGGAGAGCAGCAGGACCGTGGGGACCCAGGACCGCATCCTGCAGGTGGGCAGGGCCCCCTCCTGGAGCGGGGGCAGAGGGAGGAATAAGGCCAGGAGCTGGTCCGATAGGGGCAGAGCGGACAGGCTGCCCACGTAGGGCTGAGGCCAGGGGTCACCAGGCTGGTTAGGGGCTCCGTGCATTCCGTCGGCCGGCTCCACTGCCCCTGGGCGCCACCATGTCTGTCCTTGGAGGACGCAGGTATGGAGCAGGGAGCAAGGGTAGCTTCCCTAAGGGCCCAGGTGACTTCAGACTCCCTGAGATAACCCTATACCCCTCGGAGCCTCTGTATAAGTGTGCTTCTTCAGCTCAAGATGGCCTGGAATGGGCCAGACCCCAACATTCACGGGTTGTAAATCTAAGGGAGGGAGAGAAACAGGCTGACAGCCCCCGGGGCTCACCCCCCTGCTCTGGGCCAGCATGCTGGGTGAGCCCTGAAACACTGCCTGCCTCCTCCCCCACCAGAAGCTCCCAGAGTGAAGGGGTCAAGAAGGAGCTGGGCTGAGGCTGCTGACCACATCTTCTTCCTGGTGTATGTGGTGGGGGTAGTGTGTAGCCAATTCTTCTTCATTGGATTCTGGATGTGGGCGACGTGCAAGTCTGACCCAGCCCCTGGCAAGGCCATACCCCACGGCGGACAGCCCAGGCTGTGACAGGGCCGGGCCCAGGGCTGCAGAGAGAGGACCATGACAGGGTCTCTGGAGAGAGGAGGAGGGAGGACGACTCTCTTCCCTAAGCCCGGAGGATCCCAGGCCACCCTGAGTTCTCCCTTCTGATAGCAGGCAAGCAGAACATGAAATAAACCCATCACCCTGGTGCCTTGCGCCTGCGCCTGCGCCTCAAGGGTCTGTCTTCGCTGAGCTCAGCTATTCGTTCTTGTCCTAAGTAGTTGGGGCTGCCACTTTGCACCCACCCCCCGCTGTGCTCCTGAACTTGTCACCACCACTGTGCACCAGTCATCTGGTCCCCATTTCTGCGACTACTGCTGCTCGGCCTCGGGCCCGGGAGCACCAGGCACCGGGAGACAGGAGCCTGGGTCAGGCCACACAGGGTGGCCGGAGCTTCTCAGGACTCCTTCTGCAGAGTGCTGGACCCCAGAGGGCGCGGGGAGAGGGCACTCCTGCTCCAGCCACGTAGGGGACGCCTGGGAGGGAGAACACCCCCAATTTTCAGGACTGTGGGTGATGGGGAGTACATTCTCCGCACTAAATCCACGCGCGGCTCAATCCCGCTTGCTTTTTCTCCATGGCCTCCGGCTGTACTGTGGCCTGCCCCTCTGGGCCCTGCCGTTTCTGGGCTCGAGGGGGCTTTCTCCACCCCCAGCTCTGAACCGGGCCGGAGGTGGGCTGTTTACCCTCCCGCTCTTGTACACATGAGGGAGCTGTGGGCACTGGCCCTTTGTCTTTCTTCTCTGTCCTTTCCTGTCTGGAAGCCGTTACGTGGCCCATGCAGGCGCAGGCTCATGAGACCTAAGGTGGGAAGGAACCCCAGTATTGTGGCAGAGTGCTGGTCTGGGGGAGCTCCAGGAAGAAATGCAAACCAGGACTCGAGGGCTCGGGGACAGGGCTCCGGGCTGGAGAAGGGGTGGACAAAGGTCCCTGTCCCAAAGGATGTCAAACTCACCAGGCCCAGAGGCAAGTTAACACTGATTTATCTGTCCAGTAACATGGCTGATCTGGCAGAACCAGGCAGGGACAGCAGCAGGCTCAGGCAGACGTGTCAAAGAGGCGATCGATCATGTCGCCCACCTGTTCCACGCGGTACTTGATGTACTTCTCTGGGTTCTTGGTGAAGGGCACGCTGCCATACCTGACCAGGCGCTGAGGTCAGGGGCAGGCTGGCGGCCCCCCAGCCCCACCTCAGCCTAAGGCACTCCTGACAGGGTGCCCCTGAGTCATGTCCCTGTCCGGCCCCAAAGCAGAGCCCAGGGCATGGGCTCTGCCACCCACACCTACATGCCCCTCTGGGTTTTCTTGAAGAAGAACAGAGCAGAGACCCAGCAGGGGAAGTGGGGGGCGCAGGGCTGGGGAGGTGGAGACAGAGCGCTCACCTGTGCAGAAAGGCCCCGTAGGTCTCCCTGACAATGTTTTTCTGAGCTTGGCGAATCTTGTCTCTCTGTTCCATGTCAGGAATAGCCCAGGCCTTCTGGATCTTGCACAGTTCCTCAAGGCCATCATTGAAACCCTGGCCGCCAAAAAAGGTGGAAATAGAAGTGACCCAAAGACAAAGACCCTGGGCCCATGTCCCTGTAACAGCAGCAGGGAGCAGTGGAGGGGAAGGGACCCCAACTCACCTTGAACCGCTCCTTGATCATCTGCCGCTCCTTGTCCCTGAGCTGGGGGTGGTGGGAGAGGGCCGAGAAAGTGTTCCTCAGAGCAGAACTGCCCGGCCACTGGCTCCTTCCCCAAACACCTGAGCCCAGCCCTTTCTCCTGCTGCCCTGTGGCCGCAGGCATCCTTCGCTCATCCCAGTGGGATGCTTGTCCATTTTCCCCCAGAAACGTGACAAAAAGTATCACATCCGCTAGACACCCCTTCCCAGCCCAGGCCTTCTGCCCACCTTGACTCCTGGTTGGAATACAGGTAGATTCTTCTCAGCGATGTAGTCAGTCACCTTTAACCAGCTGCCAGGTGGGGAGAGAGGCAGAAGGTAGAGGAGGGACTGCTTCCCAGGGGCTGGTTTGTTTTGTTTTTTAAATCTCTTGATCTACTAGGGGAGGGGGAGCTCGGCAATGGATCCCGGTCACAACTAAGCAGAGCACAGCTGAGATTTTTTCCTTGGGAAAAGAAAATGTTCAAGCTGCTGGCTTTTAAAATTAAGAACAGGAAACAGAATTCAATAAATTGAACAAATACTAGCAGCTACACTTCACATCGGTCTCCTGGAGAGTAAACACGGAGAAGCAGATGAGAAAGAGGAAGGGAGCAGAGGACAGACAAAGCAAGGAGAAGGGAGAGCACTCCCAGGAGACACACGCACACAAAGGAGAAACAAGGATAGGAGCAGTGGGAGCATGGCAGAGCGAGGTTCAGCAAGTTCAAGTGCTCTTGCAACCTTGCTCTTCGCTTGGCCTCACGTCCCCACACCTGTCAGGCAGCCTTCTGATTCTTCTTCGCCCGCACCCTAGGCACCGCACCCTCTGGAAATGCTGGCCACCTCAGGAAGCAGGTGGTGGTAGGGGCAGGTGGTCCCTCTCCACCCTGTGGGTGTGGTTAAACGGCAAGCAGAGGGCCAGGTCCACGGGGGAGCACTTCCCCATTACTGACCCCACTCTGAAGCTCGGACAAGAAGAGTGAGTGAAGGGTACAGCCTGGGGGTGAGGGGAGGGCGCAGCGGGGCCCACCTGCGCTGGTAGGTCTGGATCTGCTGCTCAATGTGCTCCCGGTAGGAGCGCTCAGCAGTCTTCTGGGTCACGGCCACCAGCTGGATCAGCTCAGACCTGGCGGGGGGGCGGGGGGGGGAGCAGAGGAGGACTGAACTGGCTCTCGGGGGCCCAAAGGTTGCTGGTCTCCGCAGCAGCACCCGTGGGGCCTGCCCTACACCGCCCCGGGTCCTGGGACTCCAAGGGCTAAAGCGCTGCTCTCCCCGCCTGGCCAGGCAGAGGGCACAGGCAGCCCCGGAAGGGTGGGCGGGTGGACCGGGCAGGTGGGAGCCGCGTGCACGCAGACACCTGCAGCCACTCACTTCTCCAAGGCCTTGAGGATGTAGTTGTAGTTGTTGTGCAGGAAGATGGCGCTCAGAGCCGGGTCCTCATACACCTTGGACTTGCTCAGGAGGTTCAGCTGCAGGTTGCCCAGGACCTTACCTGCACAGGGAGGGTGTGGCTACATGCATGGGCAGTCTGACCAAAACGACCCGATCGATGGCCCTCAAACCAACTCCAACCCTTGCCCTTGTCCCTAACTTCAGACTCCACAAGCCTCAGGAGCCCTCTGCCCAGCCCCGCTCAGCCCCTAAACCGGAAGTTGGGTTACAACTCCAAAGGTTGTGGAGGGGGTTCAGGCCTGGACAGAGACTAGCAGGAGGGCACAAAGCCAGGAAGGGAAAAGGCAGGGGAGCTGGGCGCCAGGGGCTGCTGGCCAGCTAGACAGCACTCACAGATATATGTGCTCAGCAGGCGCTTGCTGAACTCGGAGCTGTAGCTGGTGGCAGAAGAGCTGGTCTCTGGGAGGAGAGAAGGCCTGTTACTGCAGCCGTGGCAGCGGCCAGGACCCTCTCCGGCCTCCCCTCAGCCCCGGGAGCAGCTCTGGAAACCCTGGGAGGGGCCCCTGAGCCCTCCTCAGGCAGACTGGATGCAGAGGCGCTCAGGGCAGGGGGTGGGGGCTGCTAGGCTCCTTGCCTGCTGCAGGGAGCACTCCCTCAGCCTCTTCCCGGAACCCAGGGCAAGCCCCTCTATGGTGATGGGTGGCAAGGTTAATGAGCTGGCCTGTGATCGGCAGGAAGGCTGGTGGGACAGGAGTGGGACGCCCCCTGCCCCCCAGCCCCGACTCATGCTGGGTGCTGTCTACTACGACGCCTACTTATCCCATTTGTGAACAGCAGGGTCTTAGAGTAGGCTCCCCACGGCCTCTCCCCCTTCTCCCCTACTTCCCACAACCTCCTCTACCGGGCTCCCCTGAACAAGCAGGTGGCCAGGCGGCAGCGGTGTATGGGGAGGGAGGCGGCAAGCAGGTGCTGGGCTAGCCTGGAGGGTGCACTCAGGGTGCCGCGTGGATAAGCTCAGGGACAGAAAGTGGCCCTACAGGGAGCTGAGAGAGTTGGGAGTGCCCTGAAGACCCATGTCCCCCCTGACCCCCGCTCCCCAGTAGGTCCTGAGTCTGTCCAGATGCCTCCGTCCCCAAGGAACCTCACCCATGGGGTTTCAGAGGGGGTAGGATGGGGCTGCAGAGCCCTGCTGCTTACCTCGGGGGTCTAAAGGAATATTGTATGTGTCCCCAAGAACTACGGAGTGAAAGGCAGTGCACTCAGAGGGGAAGAGGGAGACAAAGAAGGGAGAAAGACGCAAAGTGCAAACACAGGTTAGAAACCGTGTCCCCCGGGTCAGGCAGACCCCTCCCCGTGACAGCCAGAGCACAGACAGCAGGACACACCCTGGCTGGACCCCTGAAGGTGAGGGAGCATGCAGCCAAGCAGGGATCTGGAGAACTGCAGGCCAGAGGCTGCTCCTGGCTCCCTCGCCCCCAAAGTGGAGGAAGGGGAGGGCCCGGGGGCCCCAACAAGTTGGGTCGGGCCTCGGTGCTCAGAAATGCCAACCTCCTTCCATGCCAACCTCCCCAGCTCCAGTGCCAGGGCAGCGGTCAGTGGGAAGACACCAGGCTGGCCCTGAGACGCCAGCCCACGGAACAGTCAGCTGTGTGAGACTAATCGGGAGGACAGGCGAACACAAGAGCAGGTGGAGAAATGCGGAAGGAGGGGCGAGGCAGGCAGGGCATCTTCGAACCAGGGAGTGCCACTCCCCAGAGCGAGGACGGTGGAAGGAGCCAGAAGGGAGGGAGGTCGGGTCAGGAAAGGCACAGTCAAACCCCACTCCACAGGGCCAGGGGAGATCTCTCCCAGAGGTGGCCAGTCGCCCCGTGTCTCCAGACAAGAGGGAGGAGTGGGGGACGGGTAGGGGGCCCCACTGGGAGGTGCCAAGTACCTTGGGAGGCCAGCATGGCCCCCGCTGTCTCCTGGAAGTCCAGGAGCTGCTGGAGGAAAAGGATGGCCTGTGTGGGGAGAAAACAGGTCCAGGAAGGTCAAGGGCAGGACCTCAAGGTCACACCTCCTCCCAAACGCACCCTCTTGGACCATTCCAGGCAAGTGCAGGGCCAGGGGTCTGCCCCGTGAAAAGGGTGGTTATAAGCTTCCTGCCCTACTGGAGACACGAAGTACTTTGCCATCCATCCTGCCACCAGCGTGCCGGCTCGGGGCCAGGCCAGGCCCTCTTCCCTCCCCAGGTGACCTTGGGCAGCACCTACGTTGCTTGTGAGCTCATGCACGGTGCCATCCTTGGGCATGTTGTATTCCTTGTCCGGATCATTCTGTGGAAAGAACAGCCCAGTTTCCTGAACCTGCTACCAAAGCCTTGGGCCCCACCCCGGGCCCCGGGCGGTCTGCTCTTGGTGCCACCTCCTGGCAGACAGGGGTCAGGGCGCCCCTCAGGCACGCAGGCCAGTGAGACAGGACAGGAAAAATGGGGCAGGAGGGTCACCCCTTGGGGGCTCAGGAGCCCCCTGGGAAAGAAAGGGAGGCACGTGGGTACTGACAGGAGACTAGCAGCCCCTCTTGGCGGCCTGCCCTCTGCAGGAGCTCCCGACGCAGGTCCCTGGTGGTCCTGCCCACAGCTCCTAGGGCCGCAGGTGGCCCCGGAGAGAGGGAGAGCACCTTGATGTTGTCGGCAAAGTCCTCCAGGGCCTTGGCTCCAACGGTCTCCATGGAGGTGATGAGGCCGGGCAGCTTGTTCTTGGTGCTGGCAGCTGTCCCCTGAGGAAGCACACAGCTACAGAGCAGACCCGGCTCCCTACCGGCCGCTCCCCTGCCCCTCACTGCCTCCCCTCCTGTTCCATCACCCCGGGAGGGGGTCCCCTCGCCCAGGGCCCTGCAGAAGCTGCTTCCATCCAGCTTCGGAGCAGAGGTGTGAGGGCGGAAAAGCCAGGCCAGGCAGCACGGTCCCCCGCTCCGTGTCCCCAAGGACCTTCCCGCCCACATACCTGGAGCACCTGGTCAAACTCAGGCTTGGTCTGCTTGAGGTGCCGCAGGATGGGAAAGACGGTGAGCACGGCAGAGAAGTCGTGCCTAATGATGGCCTTCCGGGCAGCAGACACGATGTTCTCCCCTTCGAGCATCAGCCCGTCCAGTGCGTCCTGAGAGAGCAGACCAAGGACGCGGCTCACAGAGAGGGCAGAGCGGTGAGACCTGCCTCCCAGGGACGGTCAGGGCCGCTGGAGGGGCTGGGGGAAGGCAGCATGCCCCAGCAGGGGACGGCAACCCTCCCCCCACACACATACATGGTGGAGATGGTGGGCGGCTACAGTTGAAGGCTACAGGCCAACAGGTCTGGCCCAAACTCCAGCTTCTGCAGCCACAGCTTTTGCAGGGGCATCTGGTTGGGGCTCAGGAGCAGGGTGGGGTGGGGCAGGACCTGGATCAGGGAGTCAAAGGTCTTTTTCTGATGGTGCTCAGGGATGACGTCCATCAGCAGCTGGTACTCGCTCTGGGCCAGCCTGACGAAGGCACTGATGCAGTGAATGTAGGCGTCGGTCTCCACGTCCAGTGTGTCATCTCTCCCTGGGGGGACAGCGGTGCCCCTGAGCTGCTGGTCTGCGGACAGCCGCTCTCCCTGCTGGGGGGGCATGGGTCTCCCCAGCTCCTGGCCTGTAGCCCAGGCGTACTGTTCCGGCAGAAAGCTGAGAGCATTCCAGCAGACCTGACTGCTTCGAAGAGAAAAAACAGGGCTGAATCCAGCCTTTGTCCTGGCTTCATTTTCGGCTCTGCCAGACAGTGATTACGTCCCAGAGCATCAGGTACTAGAGGTGGTGGGGAGACAGATGAAGGGATAAAGAGGGAAGAGCCCTAAATCGGCTTCCTGGCTATGGGGTACCTGTCCCCAGGACTGAGGAGTCTGAACTGTACTAGAAAGGGGGCAGCCACGGGTGGGTGCCCACCTCAAAGAGGCAGGCACCGTGGTCACCCATCTGAGAAAATGCCAGGCCACTGAAGGCAGTTCTCAGCCCCGCCAGACGTGGAATGTCTAAGAAGGCAGTGGGCTATGGCCTAGGAGGCTAGCTGGCATGGGGTCAAACTTTGAGAAGGGGCGATGAGTCCCAGAAAGGGAGGGCTTCTGCTGGTCAGCTGCCCCAGGAGAGCCGGGTCCCACTAGCGGAGGCTGGGGCAGCGGGTGCCCATAGGCAACCTGGTCCCACAAGCAAAGGAACGGGCTCCAAGTCAGAGCTTTGGAGCTGTTGTTGGAGTCAGATGTCAGCGCTCCCTGCCCTCCAGGGAGCCACCTTCCAAGTAGCGGCAGCTTCTCCCCTTGGCCCAGGCCCCGAGAGCCAGGCATACACTCCCATCTGGAGAGAGGCAAGGAGACCTAGTGCCCAAAAGAGAGACTTCAGAGAGAGAGGCAAACAGGCCTGGCTCATCCTCAGAGCAGAGCCCTCCAGGGACCGCGGCCAAGGCAGCGGCGGCTGCCCTCGGGCTGGGCTGCGGTACTCACCAGCCAGCGGCCCGTGCTTGTCGTTCAGGGCCTCGGACAGGTGCTTAACTCGGAAATCATGCTCGTGACCTAGCGAGACGTCGGCCATACAGACACAAGCAGCATTTACCCAGGGGCCGGGCGGGCTGCCCCCTCGGGGACAGGGAAGAAGCCCTCGATCTCCAGGAGGGGATGTGAGATGGGGGGGGCGGGCGCGCGGCGGCAGGGGAAGGGGCACCGGAGAGGGCCCTGAGCCCCTCCTCTGCCACGGACCACCTTGGGAACAGCCATTTCAAGCCTGACTTGCAGTGCCCCAGACCGTCCTTGAGAGCTGGTTCTCCAAGCCCGAGGCCAGGAGAAAGCCTGCGGGACGACCAAGGAAGGCTCTGGAGAGCTTCTGGCAGCTGAGGAGGGTCTGATGCTCGGCCCCAGGGGGTTTACCCACCTCACCATGTTTGGGGAGACTCGCAGTTAGAGAAATGTCACTGCTGAGTGAACGAGACAGCCTCCTTTGGTTCCCCAGGGTTATTCTTTGGAAGGAAGGTCAGGTCCACCAGGGCAGGGCTGTCCTTCCTCGGACAGGAGGCAAGGAGGGACATGGCCTACAGGCTGCCCATCCCCCTCGTGGCACACACTCCCCTTTCTAAAGCTGGGGAAGGTGGGGGTGGCCCAGAGGCCTAGGCCAGCTTGGTCCTGCCACTACTGGTCGGAGCGTGAAAGGGCTGCCCATAGCGAAGAACTTTTCTCTGAGTTCAAATAGGACACAAGGACAGAGACAGGGAGGGAGTAGGAAGCCTCAGGGAGGGCAGAGCTGCCGAAGGCCAGACAGGACCAGGCCGGGGCCACAGCACCTGCCCTGCGCCAGCTGGAGTGAGCGGCACCAGGCACCTTCTGTCCCCACCCCTGCCCCCTCCCAGGGACTCTCCCGCGGCCCTCCTGGGGGCTTGGAGGCTCTGCCCTGCCACGAGAGTGGACACATGGTGGCGGAGGAGGGAACAGAAGAACACAGGGTGATTACCTTCCAGAGGAATGAGGTTAGAGCCCCCCTTTTTCCCATCTAGACCATGCTGGGAATACTGTTTCAGAAGGTTCTGAGCCTTACGGATCGTCCCTGTCACCAGAGCCACACAGAGAGGAGACAAGAAGACCTAGGAAATGAGTGAGAGAAAACAGCAGCAGGCCTCCACCTGCCCCCCTCCCCGAGCCCCATACCCAGCCCCCCAACAGTGAGCATGCCCACATGCCATCTCTCCAGCAGGCCCCTTCCAGGACCCCCCAGAGGCACTACAGATGGGCAGGAAGGAACGGGCACGGGGCGTGCCCCACACGGGGCTCCCGATTCTACTCCTGACCCTCATGGTTCTGGATTTGAGTTCTCTTTAGGAAATGCAGTGGGTGAAGGAGACGAGATGGGCAAAGAGCCATCAGGAGAAGCCAAAAATAAAAAACACTACTGAGTAGCATTTAAGTCGGAAGAGACCAGGCTCAGGATGGAGGAGCTGGCGACGAAGCTCTCACACCCAGAGGACACAGCCAGGTTGGCGGAGTCTGGGGACCCCTGAGGCCGAGAGGCCCATGGCCCGGCCCGAAACACTAGGAGGCCGAGTTCCCAGGCATGCTCAGTGCTGGGACATGGACACACGGAGGTCAACGGAAAGCAGAGCCCGGGAGTTGGTGAGACAGGTCTGAGCTTCCTGGGAGAGCGGTGCCCAAGACAGAAGGCTTGGTGACCCTGAGGCAGCCTGGCCCTGTGCACCAAAGTCACCTGAACCCCCAAAGCAATCGCAGAAAACTCAGAAGCTTGGCTGGGGGTTAATGGAAGCCACCACACAGAGCTGGAGGCAGGACCGGACACGGGGGTGGGGGGGGCATGCTCGAGGCATGGAGGAAAAAAACAACAGTTAGTATCAAAAGTGAAATCAACAAAAACAAAACCACAGTGCCTACAGCCTCCCGGGTCAGCCACCTCTGTGGGAATGAGACACCTCAGGGCAGAAAATGCAGGATATAAAATAGACAAGAACAGCTGCCTTGTTAATAAGATGCACTAGGAGCGGGAAAGAGGCCCCCACACATAACTCTGGTCCATCTTCCCTGGAGACTCCTGCGTCCCCCACCCCCAGCCATGTCTCTGAACACAGTGAGGCTGCCTGAGTTCTGGCAGGCCCCCCAAAAAGCTGGGGGAGAAAGGACAAGGTCTGGAGTGGCTCCTTTCTTTCTGTTTGGACCATGTGACAATCAGCTACTAATGACCAAGTTCACGGCCCTGGCTCAGCATCTGTCTCCCTGTGTTCTCCCCATTCAGTGAGCGGTCCTGCTAATGAGCCAATCAGATTCCTGCCCCACAGCCAACCCGCAGCAGATGGGCCTGCACACGGGCGTTGAGGAGCCTCGCCAGCGTGCTGGCATGGACGAAGACCAAGGACACTGATCGGGCAGCCGCCAAGCCCATCAGGTGCCCAGTGACCACAGAGATGCCGAGATTGGTATTAAATTACTGACCGACTGAGGCCTCCCTGCTCCTCTCCTCCAAGCCAGGAGCGGATGTCCCAGGGGCCTGGCTCCCTAGTTTTCCACATCAGTCCCAACCCCCGGGTTGCTGACAATCTTGAAACTCTGCAGCAACCACAGGGATCCTCGCAGCCCGAGTCTTCCTCTGGGGTCCGTAAGCCAAGGACAGACTAGGCCCGCTGTGAGCCCCACCACGGCCAGCCAACACTCTGGGGGCGGTGCAGACCAGGTCTGGCCTGCCCCCGCCCACCCCCCACTCCGTGGGCCTGTCAGAGAGGAGATGGAGAAGAGAGCCCAGACCAGCCAAGGCAGGCAGCCTCACAGCCTCACAGAGGGAGACAGCCCCTGCCCAAAGCACAGAGGCACAGGGATGGACCGACCGAGTGCTGGCAGCTGCGGCCCAGCAGGCTGGCTCAGCACAGTCATTATTAGGAGCAGGTTTTTAGGTGACGGCCAGGAGATCTGCACTGGAGGTGAGGAGCCATACACCTCCTGCTGGGGCCACCAGTCCTCTGCTCGCTTGGCCCACTGAGGGCAGCCTCTACGCTGCCCTTTCTCCAAACCCCAATTAAAGGCCTGAGCAGGAGCAGGTGCTCTCTGAGGGGCAAGGGCGAAAAACACTCTACACATAGCCTGCTGTCACGAGGGGAGGGTCCCACAGGCCACACCGGGCATGTCCCTGCAGCCACAGCTCGGCAGTGTGGGCTAAGGTGGAAGCAGCCCCTGGCTCTTGAGCTTTCTCTCCCCGGTGCTGCTCCCGGTGGCCCCTTGCCCTGCAACATCCTAGCCTCTCCTTCAGCTGAGGACAGCATCTCTCGGCAGCTCGAGACAGCCAGGCTTGCCAGGCTGCGGCTGACACACAAGGACATTTCACCCGGAGCATGGAGCTTCAGTAGATGGGGACTTGCTAGGTGGGGAGACACCTGCTTTCTGCCCTCTGTACCCACAGTCAGGGGCCACCGGGAGGATAAGCTCTGAAGGGGCTGACGCTGCTAACCCCAGGGCGGCCTAAGGCCATGCAGGTCCCACACAGCCTTCTGGGTGGGGCTTAATGGGCCGGGGTCAGGGCTCACCTGGCCTCTTGATGGGCTTCTTGGTGGGCGTGTCTTTCCTCTTGTTAGGGATAGCAGGCGAGTAGGGAACCCCAGAGGAAGAACTGCTCTTCCGGAAATGTTCCTTCAGGCCCTTGATGGAGCGGTCTAGCTGGCTGGAGCGAATCTGGTAGTAGACATTCATGAAATCTGAGGAGAGAGGGGGTGACAGATCTGTGGCAGCTGGGGACTCTGCCTCTCTTTCCCCTCTAGATGCAGTGGGCAGGGCAGTAGTAGGGCCTCCTATTTCAGTTTGCTAACTCGTTCCTAGCATCTGCTATGGCTCCCAGCCACCCACACGGCCTGGTTCCAATTTAAGCCATCTTAAAAGGGCAAATATCCCCCAAAAGAACTGCTAATTAAGTTTTGAAGGTAAAATTCTTTTAGATAAAAAAATATAAAATTAGGAAGCACCTGGGTGGCTCAGGTGGTTGAGCGTCCAATTCTTGGTTTCAGCTCAGGTCATGATCTCATGGGTTGTGAGATCGAGCCCCACGTCAGGTTCCATGCTCAACAGGGAATCTGCTTAAGACTCTCCCTCTGCCCCTCCCCACCGCGTGCACACCCTCTCTCTCAAATGAATAAAGAACATCTTTTTAGAAAAAACTAACTAAATAAAATTAACATCGAGATTCACCTGGCAAGGGGTCAAAGGATACGAGCAATTTATAGGAGGCAAAGAGACCACAAATGTCAGTGAATGAAAAACACACTATATCTTTAGCCATTCATGATATGCAAATTTTTTTAAAAAGGACCATGACAGCCCTGGCTAAGATAAATAAAATTAATGAAGGAAAAAGAGCCATGGGACCGTTGATGGCTCTTTGGACCCCACCTACCTGGAGATGAGATTCCAATGGCGGAAAGGTACAAATCTGTCTGGACACGTCTACCTGATAGCTGCATCTCTGAGAAAACACCCAAAGAACTCCCCATATGAGGAAAGCAATCCACACAAGTATGCTCACTGCAGCACTTTCTATCAATACTGGAAAACTGGAGACTCCAAAAATGCAAATGGGCAAGGAAACACTACATTTCAGCAGTTCCCAACCAAGGTGTTGCAAGGAGCCCCAGTGTAAAAAATGGGCTGAAGCACAGGGGTATGGAGGCTGTCCACTGGCCTCTCTTTTATCCCTAAAAATCTGCTGAGCCCAAGGCCCCCTAAAGTGCAGCTTAGGAGCCGTGGATGTGTTCACACAGTCACATAAGCTATAGATTTATTGCTTGTGTATCATTTCCTATTAAACTTCTTTTTATGAAAAAAAAAAAAAAAAAAACCAGCCGGATTAAAGAAATAAAGCGGGGAGAAGACCCCACTCCATCTGGCGCTGCCACCTGGGTCCTCGCACCTTGGTTACGGCCGTATTCCACCAGCCAGCGGGAGATGCGGATCACGTCCTGGAGCACTCCCTCGGGCAGGTGCTCCAGCGGCACCTCCTCCTGGACCTCCAGCTCATCCTCACCACTGATCAGATCCAGAATGAGCACAGGGGACACGACCTTGCTGTGCCTGGTCATCAGGCTGCGGAACTCGGACTCCAGCGACTCCTTTCCGCGCTCGAACAGCAGCTTCTACGGGGACAACAGGAGGAAGGAAGGGAGAGGGTTCGGCTGCTTCAGCATCCAGCTGGCCCTTCCTCTGCCTTCACTTCCTTTAACCCGGAGAAGAAACACCAGGAAGCCCTCTCTGCTTATGTCTTTGCCTCATGTTCCCTCAAATTCTATGTTCACAGGTGAAACTCAAAGTTTTACAAGACACAGGTGCTTCACAAATATTGGCCGATGATTTTCCCAATGGGCCATTACTCTGTCTTCTTGTTAGAAAAGGGTTTGCGAGAGAAAAAAAATAGATAAATAGAACTATGTCAAATGAAAAACTTTTGTCCTACAAATGACACCATCAAAACGGCGAAAGGACAACCCGCAGGATGAAAGAGAACATTTGCAAATTATATACCCAATAAGAAACAGATAGCCAGAACACACAAGAGAACAGAAAACATCCGTCCAAACCAAAAGTACACATGAGGGCTCATAGCAACGTTATTTGTAACTGCCAAAATGTGGAGCATCCATCAAGTGGCGAACGTGGTCCATCCACACAACTCAACGTTCCTCAGCCATACCATGAATGAAGAACTGACACACACCACCACGTGCCCGAACCTTCAAAACATTACATGAAGTAGAAAAAGGCAGACACAAAAGGTCACATATTATACGATTCCATTCACATGAGAAGCCCGGACTAGACAAATCGGGAGAAACAGAGTATAGACAAGTGACTGGCAGGAGCTGCGTGACTGGGGAGAGGAGCGGAGGGGAGTGGCTGTCAACGGTCCAGTGTCCCTCATGAGACCAAGGCAGGGACTGGTGTCTCCAAGCCTCCCACAGTAGCCCACTGGCCCCTCACCACTTTGTTGAGCTCTGGGCTGTCTGGGCTATTGTCCTGGAAGTACTCCACGGCCTTCTGAATCTTGGCCATGCTCCCCAGGTACTCCTCCAGCCTGCCTGTGGGGCTGTGAAGGAAAAGAGCTACATCAGCCTGGGCAGATGGAAGAAGAGAAAGGACCAAGAGAATGGTATTTGGAAGAGAACAGAATTAATACAGGGGACTCCGGGCTCAAATATATTCAAACCCTCTCTTCTAAAGCTTAGTGTTGCTGGCCCAAGAGGTGTTAGCAATGTGAGCCTCTGGCCCTAGCTCACCCCTCCCTGATGATTTTCTCAGTGTCACTGGCCACATGGTAGTAGCTGATGACATGGTCCAGGCAGGAGAGAGTCTTCTCAACATTCTCCTGCAGTCGCTGCAGGTTCTCTGTCTGCTTGTGCACAGGGATGATGGAGTTCTCCAGCTTCATAAGGCGGCTCTCAAAGGATGACAGGATAGACACCTGTGGGGGACAGCCCAGTCTCAGGACTCAGTCTTGTGCCAGGACTGCTTCTACCCACCCACCAGGTCTTTGGCATTTGCTGTCTTTCCTCTGGTTTTCTTTCTTTTATAAAAAAAAAAAAAAAGATTTTATTTATTTATTTTGACAGAGAGAGAAAGAGAGCATAAGCAGGGGGAGTGGGAGAGAGAGAAGCGGGCTCCCTGCTGAGCAGGGAGCCCGATGCAGGACTCGATCCCAGGACCCTGGGATCATGACCTGAGCCGAAGGCAGATGCTTCACTGACTGAGACACCCAGGTGCCCCTCCTCTGATTTTCTAGATAATAAAGTCCATGAGGGAAGGGATAGGGTGTACGTGTCCACCACTGTATCTATCCCCAACACCCACCATGTGCACAGCACATAGGAGGTGGTCCAAATAAACTGGATGAGGTTTGCCCTGCAGGAGGCAAACCATGCATCAAATGAACTCCTTCTAAGATAATCACCCCAGGAGGGACTCCCCTCCACCCTCTGAAGCCAAATCTCAATTTCACTTCTCTCTGAAGCTTTCCTAGACTGAACAGGAAGTAGTTTCATACAGAGTAGCCTCAAATGCATTGCTAGTACCTTCAAAACCCTCTCTCTCTGAGGGTGAATCTCTATTTAATAATTTAATAAGGACGAGGACTTTATGACTGTGTTCCTAAACACATACCCAAAGTTTGTATCTACTCAATATGAGCTTTTCCAGTCTCCTCTAGAAATAAGGAAGGAAACTCCTATTTGCTGAGCACCTGTTGTAGACCAGCTACTATGCAAGATGCATTCCCATTCATTGTCTCCTATGACCTTCCCAGCCACGCTGGGAGATTGGCATTGCCTCTTTTAGTAGATGAGTTGACTGAAGCTCAGTGTTACCTGTCAGGAGCCACATAGAAATAAGTGGAGAGGGCGGCGCCTGGGTGGCTCAGTCAGTTGGGCGTCTGCCTTTGGCTCGGGCCATGATCCTGGAGTCCCTGGATCGAGTCCCGAATCGGGCTCCCCGCTCAGCGGGCAGCTTGCTTCTCCCTCTGCCCTTCACCCCGCTCTCTCTGACTCTCGTTCTCTCAAATAAATAAATAAAATCTTAAACAAAGAAAAAGAAGAGGAAGTGGAGGGGCGAGAACTAGATCCCAGCTCTGATTTCAAAGCTCCTTCTACCCCTAAAGCCCTCTGAGGTGAAGGCTGAGTTTTCTCTGCCCTCAGTAATCTCAAAATCTCAGGCCACCCTTGCCCTCTGATCATCACCTGAATTGAGGATGACACACGACCACTACCCAGCTCACATAAACCAGTCTCGCTATATGTTTGCGGAAGGAGAGAACGAAGAATGGAGAGCTTGGAGAGAAAGCAGAAAGCCTGCGCCAGCAGGGGCTGCGGCATCGTCGGTGAAGGAGCAGAAAACGGGGGAGCTAGATGAGAGACACCCCACACTGCTGCTAGAGAAACCCACACATTACCACCATCATGACCCAGGCTCGAACTCCTGGCTTTATGTAAAAAGGGCTCTCCTCCAGTCTGGAGGCCTGTCTGCCCCTCCCACCTGAGGGGTTACTCACCATGTTTTTGGTGAGCTGGTCGCTCTTCTCCAGGCTGTCTCGGATGAAGGACAGCGTCTCCTCCTCCTGGGGGAAGCGGAGCGGAGCACATCACAAGAAGCTGGAGGCTAACGAACATCGCGTCCCAGCCCCACGGCCTCGCCCCCAACCCTATCTCCTCGCAGGGACTGCTCCCTCCCAGCCCTGCCTCCTCCCTGAGGAGATGCCCCGGCCCGGATCTCGGCCCCTTCCCTCACCTGCTCCCCATCCCCAGCCTCACCTGCTTCAGCTTGTCCTCGATCTCCCGCCGCCGGGCGGACGCCTCCTGCGGAGGAATCATCGCCTCGGCCCAGCGGCCCCCACTGCCGGGTGGCTAGTCTCTGCGTGACCCCTCGACTCCCGTCTCTGCCACACCCACTTCCGCCCTTGGCCCCGCCCCCGCGGCGCGCTAGTGGTGCCATAGTGGGAATGGCAAGCGGAACTGAGTAACAGGCCTGGGAAGGTGGCCATCTTGGGTGTGGCAAGTGCGGGGTTCTCGGCCTTGTCAGAGAAGGTTCACAGGCCGCGTTGTTGTATCGCTCCGCTGACCGGACGCTCTTGGAGTTCACTTGCGGTCTTCGTATGAAGGCCGACCGCTCTGACAGAGGCCGCTGGGGCAGGCCACAAGTTGGTTTCCCTAGTTCGCCTTTTATGTCCAGGCACGGATGTCGCCTTCCCCGCAGACCACAGCACAGAGCATGTCACACAGTAGGCCCGGAACGTGTGGCCATTTGATGAACCAGGGGCTTGTGGAGTCGCTCCTTCCTTCGGCCCTGCATTACGCAAAAGTACGGAGCGGGCCTTGTGTGCAAGCCCCGAACTGGGGGGGGCGGGGTGCTGGGGACAGAGTGGTCGCCCATGGCCCCGGTGGCATCTGTAACCATAAACCTGCCTTGTGTGGAGCCCAGCCAAATTCCCGGGGCTGGCGGAGTCCTCGGAGCATCCATCCCCGGGGGGCCGGGGGCTTGGAGCGTGCTGTCCAAGCCTCACCCTAGAGCGTCTCTTTTGGAGAGAGCTCTGTGGTTTTATTTGTTGGGGGTGAGAACTTGGCTGCTGGTGAAAGTGTCTTCCGCTGGGAGCTCACCTCGTCTGGAAAAGGTGCAAGGGGAAGGCTGAAAGATGTCAAACCTGTCTGAGGGATTGGGCCCAGCCCCTTAACTGTTTCTCATAGAGGCTTTGGGGCAATCAGAAAGGCTTGGAGGGCCGGCAGGGCCCCTTCTCCAGAGTTCCAAAACATTCTAACTCATCTGCCCGGAGCCTCCAGTGCGGACACTCCTGGATCAAGGTTCCTGCGGGGCTGGGTGTTCAGCTTTCACCACAAGACTCAGCTCCTGCAAAACCTAATGTCACTCCTTCTCCATCCCTTCCCTGCCCACCCTGCCTCTGGCCCGCGTCCTTGGGGAGGTAAATAGCTGTGTGGCTTTGCTCAGTTCTTTGTGGATCCAGCATCCAGGCAGAAAGGGATAGACAACAAGGCGTGTGCTGGTGGGTGAGAATATTTTGGGATACCAAGTCCTTGTGTTCCCAAGGCCCCCCAGGACCCACCACATCCAAGAGGAGGAAGAAATGGGACTGGGGCCTGGAGCTTGGAGAGAGATTGGGGAGCTCTTCTGCTGGGGCATGAGGACAATTTCAGATCCGGAGGGCAGTCAGGAAAGTGGGATTGAAGGAAATCTCCAAGCGCAGCCCTGTTGGAGATGGGGGAGATAAAAAGGCAGAGTCATTGTGGGAGGGCACCTGGGATGATTTCACTGAGGCAGTCCTTGTGCCGTCCTGAGAACTAAGTAAAGGGGAAAGTTCAGTGCCACAGTACAGAACGAGGGCCTGGAGCACTATGGTGGAAAGGACTTTGGACTCGGTAGAGCAGCCCAGAGAGCCCCCTTCAGCACCTGCCTCTCTGAACAGCACCTAGCCCAGGGGAGATGCTCAAGAAAAAAACAGCGATATCGTCTTGTTCTCTAAGTCTTAGGATCCCTATGCTCATGAACAAATACTTTGAACTTGGCACAGTATCACTGCATTTTTGCAAATAAACTACATTATCTTTTTTGTGTTTCCTCAAACCTCCTTCTCTAAGTGTAATTTGGTAGCCAGCTATCCTGTATGGAGAGCCTGCTGTTTGTCCATCTCTGTTACAAACACCATCCTTACTCGTCATCTCGTCTAAGCCTCACAATAAACGTATAAGTCAGGCACAGCTGTTGTCTCCCTTCTGCAGATGAAGAAGCTCAGGCTCAGGGAGGTCAGGTGCACTAAGTCAACACAGCTGGCCGGGAGAGGCTACATGGGAGGCCGCCCCCACGTACCCATGCTGGGTGGTTCAGGGGTGTTGTTTGTTACTATGCAAAACCACCAACCTGATTTTCAAGAAAATCCGTTGTACAAAGCAGGTGATATTTATGACAACAATATCTAGTAAAACGTAAACTTTCAGAAAGGAAGTTTAAAGTATTCTCCTCTCTCTCAAATAAATAAAATCTTTTTTTAAAAGATTTTATTTACTTATTTATTTGACAGAGACCCAGCGAGAGCGGGAACACAAGCAGGGGGAGTGGGAGAACAACTGAGCCAACCAGGCGCCCCGGTAAATAAAATATTTTCTTAAAATGGGGCACCTGGGTGGCTCAACCAGTTAAGCGTCTGCCTTCGGCTCAGGTCATGATCTCAGGGTGCCGGGATCGAGCCCCACGTCGGGCTCCCTGCTCACCAGGGAGTCTGCTTCTCCCTCTGCCTCTGTGCTCTCTCGCTCTCTCAAATAAATAAATAAAATCTTTTTAAAAAGTAAATTATTCTCAACCCAATGTCAGGCATGTGTTACAAGTAGACACTGATTCAGGAAAAGCTGTTGTTCCCCAACTATACTCAGCACAAGCTGCTTTAGCAAAGGGAGCAAGTGGTATTTCAGTTACAGCCTCAGAAGCCTTGCTTTTCATTCGGAAACTTGTGCAGAACACAAAGGTGGCAATCTTCGGCAGGACCCCGCTGCCCACTCCCAGAGATTCTCTTCCCAGAGGAAAGGAGGGCGGATGAGCTCTCTCCCCCCAACAGTGTGTTTGTTAGTTTGGTAGCTTCCTAATTCCAGACTTTCTGTTCTTCCTAAGGAACCAGGTATATAATTCCTCCAAATGAATGTTTCCTGGCCCTGGAGCAATACTGGCACTGTGTATGCCAAGACATATACCTATGGCTGGGGTTATGGCCGTCAGAAATATGACTGATGCACTGCAAAAAAAGGAAAACACAAAATACTAAAACAATAAGTAGAGTAGATGGATGATTCAGTTTCTCTAGTTTCTAAAAATAGAGTTTAAATTACCTTTCCATTAAAACACTTCTAAGGAAACAAATTTTCCTTTTTTCGGTAATGATCAAAAAGAGCCTATCTTGCTCATTTAGAAACCATCAGCCATCAACAGTGCTATCCGACAGAGTGGTCAGGGGGTGTTTTTTTCTTTTCTTTGAAATCCTCTCGGATATAAAATGAGAGAAAGGACCAAGGTGTCCAGAGCCCAGGGGTGGGCAGCCTTTCGTGTGCTTTCTTATGAGGAAGAGAATGCAAAGGATAGGGTTAGCGTGCTTTGAAACACCTGTGGGCTCAAATCTGCAGTTTTATTTTATTTTATTTTATTTATTTTTTAAAGACTTTATTTATTTATTTGACAGCTAGAGAGGGAACACAAGCAAGGGGAGTGAGAGAGGGAGAAGCAGGCTTCCCGTGGAGCAGGGAGCCCGATGCAGGGCTCGATCCCAGGACCCTGGGGTCATGACCCGAGGCGAAGGCAGAAGCCCAACGACTGAGCCACCCAGGTGCCCCTGCAGTTTGATTTTAAAACTATTTTTCAATGTAATTCTTATCCAAGGTTAAAAATTCAAACCGGAGAGAGGGCAGAAGGTGAAAAACAGAAGGTTTTCAGCCCTCCTCTCCGCTGAGCCCCAAACCCTTTTGTCCCGGATGTAACCAGAATGACCACTTTCCTAATGCATTTGGACAAATCCGAACACATTTTACACAGAATAAGCTCTTGTTTTGTTTTGTTTTTAACACAAATGTCATCACAGTAAGCATCCTTTCCTGTGGCCTGCATCCTAACAGTATACCATTTTTCTTTAGACTTTATTCATTTATTTATCAGAGAGAGACAGAGCACAAGCAGGGGGAGCAGCAGGCAGAGGGAGAAGCAGGCTTCCCACTGAGCAAGGAGTCCAATGGTGGGGCGGTTCTGGGGATCATGACCAGAGCTGAAGGCAGACGCTTGACCAGCTGAGCCACTCAGGTGTCCCCCTAACAGTATACCTTGATCATCTCTATTTTTTTTTATTTTTTTAAGATTTTATTTATTTATGTGAGAGAGACCGAAAGCGAGAGAGATCACAGAGGGAGAAAGAGAAGCCAACTTGCTGCTGAGCAGAGAGCCCGGTGCAGGGCTCGATCCCAGGACCCTGAGATCATGACCTGAGCCGAAGGCAGATGCTTAACCGACTGAGCCACCCAGGCACCCCCTATACCTTGATCATCTTTCCATATCAGTATCAGAGATCTCCTGCATCCTTTGCACAGTGTTTCACAGAAGAGATACAATATAGCAACGCCGTCCTCCATTAATGGACACTTGGGTTGTTTCCAGGTTTTTGCTATTGGAAACTCTGCCCCCATTCATAGACGGCTGGTACATCCTGCACAGACCGCCCCGTACAGACATCTATACATTCCCTAAATTAAAACATATACTTTTAAAATCAGTATAGAGATGTACAAATTGCCATCCAATTTGCTGAACTAGTCTATACTTCCAGTACCAGTGTACAATGTGCCTCTTTCCCCACACCTAAACCCACGCTATTATCAATCTAACATTTTTGCCAATCTGAGAGATGAGAGATGAGAAATGGCATCTCAGGTTTAATTTTGAACTAAATGAAAAGGAAAAAAGAATTTATCAAAAGTTGTGGGATGCAGGGGTCATCATTACTGATCCCATGGACATTAAGAGAATAATAAGGAATATTATGAACAACCCTATGGCTTGAAATTTGATAACTTAGGTGAAACAGACCAATTTACTGAAAGACACAATCTACCAAAACTCACACAAAGAGAAGTAAATAATCTGAGAAGGAGTATATCTATTAAAGAAATTTAATCAATAATTAATAAACTTCCAAAACAGCACGAAGTCCAGATGATTTCACTGATGAATTCTACTAAAGATTTAAGGAAGAAATGATACCAATTCTCTACACTCTCTTTCAGAAATGGAAGCAGAGGAGATATTTCCAAACCTGTTCTGTGAGGTCAGCATCACCCTAAAACTAAAGCCAGCTAAAGACATTACATGAAGGAAAAACTACAGACCAACCTCCCTCG